TGCTAGAAGGTAAAAGCGCTTCTGCAACGAGCCTCGTAGAAACAAATAGTAAGAAGCATGAAAAATTACAATGAACGAACAGGAGGAACGATAATTTTATTTTAATTTTAATCTAATTTTAGTTACTTGTAAAAGTCTCCTCACATCAAGAAAACGTGTGCAACGTGTGCAACCAAAAGCGAACAGAAGAAAAGCTGCATTAAAGCTGCAAGCTGAGTTAAATATGAGAGACAAAAAATAAGAAATAACTAACTAAACTACTAAGTTATCTTGTAACTAAATAATATAGAACAATGATATAATACATAATATATGATATGATTAAATAATAACTAAGTAGTTAAATAATGAAATTCCTCTTTTTAAGCAATTTTAATATTAATGTTACTTGTTGTTAACCGAACTATTATTAATTTTCTATTTTTAAAGTGTAAGAGAAAGAATGTAAGATGCTAAAATACACGGAACACGCAATCAAAAATATAATATTCTTATAGGCAAAATATTCCAAAAATGTGATATTAATATACGCAGAATATTGCAGATAATAATAATTCGTTGTAGCATTCAGTCGACGAAACATATCTCTATTGAAAAGAGTTTCACTTTTCAGTGGCGTTCACTGTGTGAACCAAGATACATCGAAATCGAACGTTTGCTCGCCGTAGAAGTAAAATTCGATAGAAACGAATTTCGCTGCACGTTTGCTACGCTATTTGCTCCGCCGTTTTACATCGTGCGCGCGTTATGAAATATTTCATTCATTCGAAATCAAGATATTTCTGCTTGTCTGGCATGCACACGCGCATATTACAAATGCAACGATCAAGTTCATACGATATGCATATTCAGAACGTAAGACACGCGTTACACGGTTTTTTAAAACATTGCTTGAAAGACTGGTCGAAAGAGCATAATTGATGCACAAACACGAAGCGATACGAGCCACTAAAACGTGTTATTAGCGTCTTTGTTTAAAGAATTATTTTAACAATTGAAACATGAAAGCGTATGCAATATCGCAGTATATATGAAATATCGCTTGCTTCCGAGAATTATTGAAATAGAAATATTTAAGCGTGATGAGGTGTGCCACCTTGGGCACAAGACTTTACGAGACGATGCAAGTTAAATTAAAGTTGTTGGCTTCTTTTTTTCAACTTCTTAGCGGCAAATATTAGATTAAACTTATTAGATTTTAGCCTGTTGGATTTAATGGCCATTAAATGCCAAATTGGAAATTGAACGTCTTCTTCATGTCTTCGAAGAATGGTCAATCTTATTTAGTTAATCTGAGTTTTAACTTCGTATTTAAACTGAATCACTCATTTTACTGAAATCATTAGCAGAGGATCTTCCATTACATAAATAAACTCCAGTTGTGTGAAGTGTTTGTTCCTCGATAAGTTCACACAAACCCTGGTGATCTCGCCAAATCCAGAAGTGATTAGTAATTGATTCCTCTCATTTTGTTTTCTTTTTTTACGCGATAAAGATAATTGGAATTACACGTGATTCAATCTGCTATCCTATACGAGATTAACCCGTATAAGGAGAAACAGGTGTTGCAGTTTTAATACACATCAAGACCCCCGTATCTGAATCTGGTGCATAAAATAGTACTACGCAGTCAGAAAATTGCTACTGCGTCCTTGCATAATAACGCGGATTATCGATATTTTATATTAATTGTAAAATTGCAACGCGGAGGAATTTTGGAGCCGTGGCTTAAATTAAACCAACTGTGCTGAAGATGAATTTCTTGAAAATGGATCGTATTTTAATCCTATTTTTTCAATGCTGCAGTGCCATTTTTTTAAATGGTTGCATTGGAAACAATGCTTGATCAGTAATTGAAGAGAATCGAGTCGAACTTTGAATTTGAATTTGAATTTGAATTTGAGAAGTTTAGACGATGATTGTACGTGGTAATCGGTGCGATTAAATAGAAAAGAATAAAAGAAATAAAAATCATCAGTGGCATTAATCAACAGCTTCTGAATCACGATAAAAAAAACTTTAATATATGTCATACATTTTTCAAGTATTTTATTATTATATTATTCTTACAAAATTTAAAATAAAACATTGAGATAAATAGAATTCGTACGAATCATTTACAAATATCAATTAACAAATATATTCCAAGATACTTGAGACATTACTTACATGAGTCAATTATACGATGTGAATATATCAAATTATCATATCATCCCGTAGATTGCTCACAGAATATTTTTTGGACTTTATACTTTATATCGCATTCAAAAACGTTTATAAATTAATTCGATATAACAAAAATTCATGAATAAATTCATCCGTTGTCCCTATGTATTAAGGGGATGTGACACTTGTTAATTTATTAAATAAAGAAAATAAAGAAAATTTATTTAATAAAGAAAATTTATAGACAATTCTAATTCAAACATCGGATATAGTACAAGTTTTGCGTCTGAAATTTTATTTTTAATAATATATTTTAAATAAAACATTTTTTCGCGCCAATAGCTCGATATATTGAACAAAATTGAACAAAATCCTTATTATGCAATTGTAAGTGAAATGGGATACAGAGAGAAAGCTTAGAATTAATATACAGAGAGAAAGTTTAAAATTAATATCTAGGAACGAAGATATTAATCAAAATAATCTTCTTATGTTTCTTTTTTTTTTTTTTTGAAAATGAAATTTATTCAATTTACGGATATTGAAATGTTAGCGCCACGTAGCGATGGAACTGTGAAACTAATATCTATTGCTTTCCTTATCGCCCACTAATGTGCTCCTTGTCTGTTACATTACATAAGTTTGTCCTTGTCGTACGCTGTTGCTCTCCTCGTCTGACCAATGTAAACTTTCGATTTATCAAGTGGAAATTTTAAATTTTCGTTCACATGTTTTCTAAGTCAAATAAAACATAGCAAGAAAGCTTAAATTGTGAAAACATGAATGTAACTGCAAAAATTTAGAAATTAATCGTCTTAATTAATTTTTCTTTGCGAATGAAAATTTATTCAATTTACTGAATTTGAAATGCTAGCATCACGTAGCGGTGAAACGGTAGAACTAAAATCTGCTACTATCCTTGTCGCACACTAGTGCGCTCCTTATCTAGCGATAGTGCTGCTATCTAAGCACCTCTCAAATTCAACTGGAACTAAAAGGGCAAACAGGAAATATTCGATAGATGGCAGCACTAGTACAATCAAAGTCGGTAATATTGTTGGTTCCAACAGTCTTCGATAGATGGCAGGACATCCGTAAACAAGGAAAACAATTTGCGATAAGGACAGACGTATATAATGTAACAGACAAGGAACGCACTATTGTGCGACAAAAACAGATATATGCAATGCGATAGACAAAGAGCACACAAACGTGCATCAAGGACAGCAATAAATTTTAGTTCCTATTCGCCGCTACAGTGTCCATAAATTGAATAAATTTTCATTTGCAAAATAAACTAATTAAGAGGATTAATTTACGAATTTTTCCAGTTATATCTTCATTTTTAAACGCCAAGCTTTCTTCCTATGTTCCACTTGATTAGTGCATAAATAAAATGCATAAATAAGAATTTACAAATTCATTACAAGTAATCATTAATATCATTGACTAACTAGTCAATGCTAGTATAGACATTCGAAATTTGAATCAAAATTGTTCGTAAGCATAATTAGAAGTATATACAACAAATTTCATGCACTTTTTGATATAAATCTTTATTTAATCGGTTAGTTATTAACAATTATTACATGTTTCATTGTTGCATGTAATAAACTTATAACATGATACAATGGTTTTCATTTACATTTACAAATTGCAAAGATGTTAAATTTCTTACGGATCTTTACAATATATCGAATGTATGTCCTACAAAATATGAAACTGTAATTATATGTTAATTTGACCTGTTTTCTTAAATCATGCTTTCCATTCTCTCCAATTGTTTAAGAGAAACGTGAGAAGTCAAAAGTATTACAATTCACTTTTTGATATAAATCTTTATGTAATCGGTAGCTAAAATTTCTCACTCTGTTTTACGGAAAAACGATTAAATTTCAGTTTTTCGAAGGTATCAATTACTTCAATATACACGTACAAGTTCCAAAAGATACACCATGAACCATGCGTCATATATAGTAGTAGTAGTCAAAATGGCTGTCGTTCTGCATGCGCATTAACAGTTTGTAACGTGTTCTTGACTTTTTTATATATATACGTAGAGAATGTTAACCGGTTTGTATGACGTTTTCACTATGACTACAATGCCTTAGACGCCAATGTGAATATTCAGGAAATCTATACGTATGTGTTGATACTGGAAAGTGGGAATATAAATGTTGAATTTTTCTTAGGTTAAGTAGTCACGTCGAGGTCGTATTGTAAAAAATTCATTTCTTGTATATTCGAACAGGCATATGCTTGCACGCATTACTCTCTACGTGCATAGAAGAAGGATTTAAATAAATAGTGTTGTGTGGTATATCAACAGAAATTACGTATTGTTTACAAGTGCTTTTAAAAATTTCGAAATGGCACTATCTCGTATCAGTAACGCCTATTTATTAACAAGTTTATCACAGGTCTCATATGCAGGTATGAAATTTATAATTCACCTTCGTCTATTATTACTGTCTATAAAAATTTCTTACTGAAAATCGTTCGATTAAATTAAATTTTGTTCTCGTAACATTTCGTGTTGTTATAGAATGGTACGTTTTTATTATTTTATTATTGTATTATATATATTTTTATTACTGTTGTTTTTATTATTTTCTTCTTTCTCTTTTACATTTAAATTCGTCAAAGAAGAGGTAATGTCGATCATACCGATCAACTTATACCATTACAAGTTATAAATTACATTCCATCATCGCTGTGATTACCATAATTATATTGTAATTATACATTTTGCCAGAGGTACAACAGGGACATTTTCACAATGACTATTCCATTCTGTCAG